GTAAACTAATACAACCTTCACAGAACCTATCAGAGTATCTTGTCAATTTACACTTGTTACATTCTTTTGGTTTGCCTTCTTTACATTTTGCATTCAGTAATTCAACCTGATAAATAAACTCTTTCTTACAATATTCTTTTTCATTTTCAGAAAGCTCTTTGTTTTTCTTGACCAATGAAAAATAATAATCTTTTTCTTTTCTAATTTCTCCATCAGAATTAGCCACTGTATTATTATGCATTTCATTACAAATTTTAAATACTGTTTCCTCTCTTTCTTGTGATAACGATGATAATAATTTATTATATGACATTATATAAAAATATAAAAATATAAAATTCGACTTGGTGTTTTAATGAACGTGGGGATTTTTTGAAAATAACGGTTACATGTTACATTATTTTTCCCTTAACACACATACATAAAAGAAAGTTGTCGTGCTACGGTTTCTTTCTAAATGTTGTAGATTTTTATATTTGTGTAATATTTTCTTTTACATTAAATGTTAACAATTTTACCCAAGTTGGCTGCACGGGAAACATTTCTTTGTAGACTCGTTTAAGTTACGATAACGAGTCACGAATTCTTCTAAACATTTCATTGCTAAACTTTAGTAAACTAAATTGTTGGGGGAAGGATGAGATCAAAATCAAAAGGGTAAAACTTTGTTTCCAAAAAATTACGAATGGTTGTGTTATTTTTATATTGTCGTATCATGCGAATTTCCCATTTGCTATCTATTTGGCAACCGAAAAATTTATCTATTTTGGTTCAAAAAAACGTCAGGGAGATACTTGACTAAAAGGAAATCGTGTTCGTTTTCGATGTTTTTTGCGCAATGTCTATCATTGACTAGCGTTAGGTTTCCATATTTCTCTGACGTTTCGGTCCCGTTCAAAATGATCAAAATTTATGGCCCTGCCTTGGAGCCTTTACCTCAGATCCCAAGTCGTCAAAGACTTGTCACACGACGTGTTAGTATTAGTGTTAGTATATTTTCGGGACACGAGACCGGGATTCAAAAATACTTTACTATTACATTTTATTTTATTGTTATTATTATCGGTCAATTCAATGATCGATGAATAAACAATATGCACAATTTTTTTCAATCTTGACCATTTGATGACCTGAATAGGAAAAATTTTATTTTTAATTTCCTTTTGGAGAAAACAAACAAAAAATTTATTTTTGATTTTGACCATTTGAGGGATAATGGATGGCCTGGGCAAGAAAAAATTTATTAATCGCTAAATTTCCTTTCGGAGAAAACAAATAAAATTTCATGCGAGATTCTTCTCTGCAAAGGATCTTTTTTTTTTTTAATTAGGAAAAATTGACCTTTGATCTGAGATGAATAAATAAAAAATAAATAAATAAACAAACAACCGATTCACCTCTCGAATATTTTTTTACTACTAGCTTGCTTTTGTCTAGTATTTCTTTGATTTGATTATTAAAAAAAGAAATAAAAAAATTCCAATTCATCCTCGCTTTTTGTCTATTCAATATATAAAAAAAAATAAAAATGCCATCTATCCTATCATCCATTATGTTCAACAGGTCGGCTAGTGTGACACATACAGTGACCGGGGTGGTTGTGAGCCGTGTAGAAGAATAAAATTGAGAAAAACCAATTTATCCTAAAGATTGCAAAAACAAAGAATATGTTTTAGTCTTGGTGGTTTGAAGTTGCGTAATTTTTTACTATCAAAAATGTAATTGACAAAACAAAAAAAAATTTCAAAACGGTATGGCTATTTTGTGTATAAGTCGAATTTACGTCATATTAATATGAAAGCAAACGAACGACTTTTTAATTTTTTGGCATAAGTTAAAACCTTAATTTAATAACAAGCATCTTTCTTGATTTCACCCGTTTTCTCAAATTCCAGTGAAGCACTAATTATTAAAAGCGCGTTTTTTTAATCTTTTTGTATAAATGTGTAGATAAACTACCATCAATCAATCTTGCACGAAAACCAATCCTTGGCGGTGGCTCTTTTATTACAGACTTATTACTATTTTTTTATATTAGATGGTGATGGATGGAAGGGGAGCGTTGGCGTAGACGAGAAGGCTCATCCGTTAAGCATTATTTTTTATCGTCATTTTTTTATTATGCATTGTACATGAATCATTTATGTTCAACCACTTTTCATTATTTTCATTGATATACATACATCCATCGAGAAAAGCGAAGTTTTCCACCTTTTCGGCTATCTATTTCTCAAATGAGATAGTGCTTTTATTAAAATTTATTAAATACGTGAGCAATTTCCCTTTGTTATTTTTTAAAAAAACAAACAAACAAACAAATTTTTTGCTCAACACGACGAATAAAATAAGCCATATATTGTTGATGCTCCGAACGAATATATAGATACCTCGCATTTGAATGTAACGTGTAAAGCCATATATAGGACACCGTTTCGGCACTACACATCTCGACCCTCGGATTCGAATGCAACGTAAAATGCCGAACCGATGCACCATTTTTGCAATTTTTTGGTTCACGAGTGGAGATAGCGGGTCTGTTTATATGTTTTTGTTGTTGTAATTTATTAGATTATTCGATCAATGTACCATCTGGCCATGAAATATTAAAGATTGCATCATTGATTGTTGTATTCTATGGCTGTTGACCACCAAACATACATGTTACATCAACATAACATTTAGTATCTTTATATATTCCAACACATGTAAATCAAATAATTTTAAACCATGATAACTTTTTTTCTTTTTAATAAAATTGAATGAACCTTTTATAGTTTTATTGTTTAAGTCTTCTATAATAAAGTTACAGAGAGCTTTTGCACCATCTTATTTGATTATAAAGTTTATCTATTAGCAATTTTTTTTCAATGTCTTTACTATATAAAAAAAATTTTTTTTTTTATTTGACAAGAAACAAAACTTTTTGTGATCTAAAAGCTTATCTATTTACTATAATTTCCCTTAGTTTCATGTTTGTATCTTTTTTATTTAAAGGCTCTGATACAATTTTTATTTATATAGTTTTTATATATATATATGTATTTTTTTTTTTTTTTTAGAAAAGTTATTATGTCACCTCACTTAATTTTGCCCCAATCATTGATCATGAATACACGATAGAATACTAGGATTTTTCGCACCCGATACTATTTTTTGATGTTCCGAACGAATATATATGTATGTGTGATTGTGATTTTATGATGTCATGACATCAAGAATATCATCGTGCTATAATCCTAATCTGTATTTCACGAAACTCACTGTTACATTTCGTTTAAGAACTTGTTAATTATAATAAACAAATTTGATGGCCGCGTATAATAGTATTGTTCGCCTATTCCTATCAACAGATGATTTGAGGTTGATTATGACATACTACAATCGATACTTGCATATTTAATTAGAAATCTGGGTTAATTTAATTGAATAAATCAAAAGATTCTAATTGTATTACTCGAAAACTCTTATTTCTATTCATTATCACACTATCTTTCAATATGATAAAAGTTAATATAAATTATTATGATGATTTATTTAATTGCTAAATAACAATGCGCCAAAGACTTCAATCGGTAGTGAATCAACCTAGTTGGTAGTTTGCGTTATTGAATCACAAATAAACTTATTATTTAATGCTTTATTTTATTTTAAATTTCTATATTCAAACATCTACCTCTTCAAAAAAATATGCTTGACATTTTTATTTTATTTTTTCCCAAGATTTTTCCCAAGAGAAAAAACGCACTTTGCAAATAAGTGATAATAATAATAATATAAAATGTAGACAAATAAATGGATGAAGGCAAGTTTGTTGAAGAAACAAAATTTAGTGGGTGAAGGCAAGTTTGTTGATTAAAATAAATTTATGGGTGAAGACAAGTTTGTGTAAGAAAACAAGTTTGTGATAAATTTTTTCTCGGGAAAAAATGTAAAAAGGGTAATTTTTGTGAAAATCATTTTCTATTAATTCACGAGAATTGAATTGAAAAAGATGAAGGATAAAAATAACTAACAAATTAAAAAAACCAAAAATGTATTTTTTAACTGACCGATGATTATTGTTCTTGAAAAAAATTTCACCTCTGCTAATAATAATAATAATAATAATAATATCAAAGAGTGAGCAATAAAGTTTTCTCTATAATGAATATGAATCATATTATTATTATTATTAAAAATGTTTGGAAAGTGAAATTGTTCTTTGCGTTGATCTTCATCAGTTCTTCAATTTTTGATATAATAATTAATCCAACTTTTGCACTTGAGACAACAATAAATTATGTCGAATTAATAAACAACAACCTCAAAGTAGTTGATGGAATTAATTATCAGGATGGAACAATTTTATTAAGATTGTTGGATCCTTTAAAATACTGTAATGAGAGTACAGTCTATTTACGATTAGTCCATACAAATAGAACCATTACAACTTTAGATTTAAATAATTTGAATATTCCACGTGAAAATTTTTGCTACAACCCTACATTGGTTGCTAATAGTAAACAAAGCAGTGGTAGCAGTAGTGGTGATAGCATTACAATAAATGCTATAGCTTATAAATATATATTAATAAATTATTTTTGTGATCATTCCATTTCTAATAAAGTTTGTGGTGATGTCATTACTTGGACTGGTGAATTAGTAAGGTAAACAAACTATTTGTATGTAAACTTTAATATTTTATTGATTGCACATCTAACCAGTTTCTAAATGTGTAAATATAATCAGTACAATTGAATTTGAGAATGTATGCAATGATAGTAGAATTATTCAAAGCCATAAAAAAGATGATGGATTTTTACGTGTGTGTTATGTTGAAGATGAAAAAGAAATCATTTGGACAAAATACAGCGTACCGTAAGTAATCTAATTCTTATTTTTAAAAAGTTCAAAATTTCTTTCTTCCCAATTTCAAATTTTACTTTCCCCTAATTATTTTCATATTATATATAGAAACATTGCTACTGGTACAATAATAGAAACTTCTACTGGAAAATTAACAGATATATCCAACTTTAACCCAAACATTACAAATTTCTTTTCAAGAGAAGATGGAAGTTATGCAATGGTAACTTGTACAACTAGCACAAAAACAACTACTGATAGCAATCAATTTACTGGAGATTGGACAATTTCTGTAACATTTTTATCCGTTGACAATAATCCGCAACAAACAGGCCCTTTTGAGTTATATAAAACCAAAACAAGTAGTAGTGGTTTGATTGATATTGTTAATATTCATAGGTGTGATCTTGCCTATTACTTTTCAGGATACAGTTGTCTGATCACAATTGTTAGATCGACAAACATATCATATATAGATATTGATTTCACATCTTCGGGTAAATTGAATTCATTAACACCAGAATTTTCAATTGCTCAAATTTCCAATACAACAACAACAACAATATGGGATGTTCAACCATTGTATTATGGCGGGTATGTTATTTTAGTAGAGGCTGCTCCAACTGGTAATGTTGAAGGACATATTTGTAGTAATAATGGCACTTATTTTGGAAATTGGGGCTTCTCAGGCCAATATGAATACACCAATAAAATTGCAGGAGTTCTACCTGACAATACACTATGGACAATACCTAAACAACCAACTGGAAATTGCTCTTGGACATGTTTATTGACTGATACTTTAACCACTTATAGTACAGTTCAGAGTAATAATATTAGTTTTAGTATTATCGGTAAATTTCCTGGTGGTCCTGGAGGTTATGGATCTGACAGTATATTGTCAACGATACCAGAAAAAAATTCAAGCATAATATCTGCAAACACTGATTCAATCACAATATCTTATACTAAACCAGTTACAAAATCTTCAGGAAACGTTAATATTTACCAAATACGTTCTAGCACAGACACTAGTATTAATAACAGTGATGATTATTATGATGAGAGTGAAGATGTATTGCGTCAATCATGCTCTGGCCAATCTGATTATGTTCAAATCTTAGGAACTGAAGGGAGCATTGTTCAAGTTAAAGTTTTAAAAAGTACCTTTAATAATCCTGGAAGTGAATATTATGTGACTATTGAAGATGATTTTGTTAAAGATTCTGCAACTAATCAAAGTATTTTTGGCATAAAACCAAAAATATGGAGTTTTAGTACAGGTTTTTAAAAAAAATTTTTTACAGAAAAATTGTCTTATCAATATATTTATAATTTATATAATTTATTTCTAACTTGTATATTATTAATATATAGTTGTAGTCAGGGATGAATTGTATGTCAATTATGATTCAAGTTCTGTCAGCTGTATAATCCGATTAACACCAGAAGGTACAACATATTACATATCATTATCAAAAAATGATCAATTGGATTTTGTTGGTAAATTGTCAAATGAATTATCCAATGCACTTCCATGTGATGCAACACGTATAAAAATACCAACAAAATTTCAATACAGTCATGATAATAACAACAACTATAGTAGTATAAATGATAATCTTACATTCAAAAATTATGAAATGAATATCACAGCTAGCTCAACTGATCAAATATTTATGAGAGTCAATATCGAGGGAACATTGTCAAGAACAGAGTTGAGTGCAATACAATTATCAAGTGATTTGAATGAATTGATAATAAATAAAAATGTTACGTTGTTATCTAAAGGATTATACACTAATTTGATTGACTCTGGCTATGGGGCTGAACAAATAGCCAGTTCCATGGAGAACTTTAGATGGATTTTCATGACAATATTTATTGTATTATTGTCAATAGTGCTTATTATTTTATGTATATTAGTGGGAACTCGTAAATATAAATTGGTAATTATATTATGCATTAATTTATACTTGTCAATTAGGTATAATAAGTATATATATTTTTCACAAGTATGTGACTAATTATTTTTTTTATAACATTAGGCACAAAACCTTTTGGCAATTACTATGTTTATATTTATCACAATAGATTTTTGCTTGGATATTGCTTTTGTATCTATACATGGAAAAGATTTCAAATGGTTATATCTTCCAAGGTAACAACATTAATAATATTTTTGATCTTTTAAATAATATTTGGTATCGATAATAACAATATACTTGCTATCATTTCTCCCCCATTTTTCATCATCATCAATTTCCATCATCAATTTCCATCATTACTTTTCATCAAATTACCTCATTATCATAGTGTTACATTTATAGTACTACCAATTGTGTTCAATATGTTGTTTACATTCTTGATAATCGCTTGTGAACCATCAACCTCATCATTGTTGAAGAAAATATTTTATTTTATTTTATCATCAATTGATTTGGATTTACCATTTATATTTGCTCCATCATCATCACCCAAAAAGAACAGAACAGAAGCGTCGGAAGTTTCCGATACACCAACAACTTCTTCATACTCTTCTTCTTTTACCTCAAGAGAAAAATTATTGACATCCTTTAATAGTTATAATAAATTGATATTGATTGGTAGAATGTTTAGCTTTATGGTCGAAGATAGTGCTCATTTATTTATTTTAGTAAGCATATTCACTTTTATTCATAAAAATTTAAAGTTTTAAATTCTTTATTCTCTATTATTAATTTTTCCATATTACAATTATAGATATTGTATCGAGAATTTTCGATAACTCCAGCTATAATACCAATGTTATCCTTTAGTGCAGCTACAACTGTATTGATACTTAAGTCAATGCTTATTATTCTTGGAATATATTTGAGTTTATTTTATAAAAGTAAACGAATGAGAAGAAGATCTAGAAGAAGAAGAAGAAAAACAGCAGATAGTTTTGGTAGTATCATCGTTGATAGTAGCGATCGTGATGAATACGATGATCGAAAATCAGTTCTTGATAACGTAAAAGAAAAAAATGGTAGCGGTAGAAGAAAGAAAAGCTCTAGTATGAGTAGAAAGGGTAGCAAAGATATATATGATGATACTTATAGCAGTTCTGGGGGGAAGAAAAAGAGAAATAATAAAAGTAGTAATGAAGAAAGAAGATCAGCGTTGTCAATGTTTGATGTTGATGAAGATAATAAAAAATCTACTAAATCAAGATCCGTCAATAAGGAAAAGAACATTGCCCCCGTCGTCACTGACAATATTGATAATACTAATGATGCCAATGTATTATTTTCATCATCACCAATATTATCGGATACACAGGCACCTAATATCGACAATGATCTAAAAAGTGGTGAATTAAAAGCAGCAATTGGCAAGAACATTGATGATAACGATAGTAGTGATTCTCAGAAACCTGAAGATGATGATTATGGAAAACAAGATGAATCTGCTTCAATTTATAAAAACATCACAAGTGGAATATTAGAAACTGATAAAGTTGACACATCATCAACAGGAGTTGTTGTATCTTCATCATCAACTGATGCATCAGCATCTGAAATACATGCTTCATCATCGTCATCAACACATCATCCGCATCATTCGCATCATCCACATCATCCGCATCAAGAAAATTAAGTATCATCCTGTAATAAATACATCTCCGACATTAGTGGTATTAACGATGATAATAAATAGTCCTGATAATAATAATGTTGGTAGATGTGGATTTCCATGATAATAAATGTAAAATAATAGTTATTCGGTTAAGATTTTAATAGAATTATTTCGATTAATTAATTAATTATTATTTTTTATATTTTTAATATTAATATTTAATATTTCATTTTTTCATTATTTTTCTTAATATAAATAAAAAGGTCTATTACAAAGATATATATATATATAGAAAAGATAGCAAAATACTTGCAAGAAATAAAAAAATTCATATATGAATTGTTTGAGCTTTTAATTGTTGATTCTGAATAAATATTTGATTTATCTACCAAGATAATATTATACAACCAATATATATATATATATATATATATATATATTATCTAATAATTTATCCTCAGCTTCCTCCTCAAAGTCCCTCGTCTAACTCCTTTAATGATTTATATACATGCCGTCAAAATTAATTTGGCTTTGACTCAATTCCCAAATCTCAATTTTTAATTGCGTCTGGCTCGATTAATAGCGTCAAAAGCCTCCTGATTGAGTCAAGTGTACGGATAAGTTGTATAATAATAATAATAATTAATTTCATAATTAATGACATATAATTAGGAAAAATATACAGAAAAAAATAATTAGTTTCCATGATAATTATTCTTTTTACATCATTGCAATATACATACATAAAATGATATAATAATACTTTATTAATCTATTTTATCATTATCATTACTACTGCTTGTTTTTTACTTGAATCAAACGTTTTCAATTACATCTAATGTTTTTACTTACGTCAAGGACTTTTACTTTAGTCAAATCGTCAAAATGGCACTGGTGAGAAACTACCTTTAGTTACATCAATGACTAAAGTCAAAAGCTTCGTCATACATCATTACGTGCGGTGCGAAATTTTTATCATTGGCATGTGTTGGTCATCTCCTTTATACCAGAGAGGATTGTTATTATTGTTATTATTATTATTATTATGTTGATTTAGCAACTAGCAAATTTTTTTAATATATTAACATCAATCATAATAATGTCTTATTATTAGGAGTAATATTTTTACTATTGTTTATTTCTATTTTAAATAAACAAAAATTGCAAGTGATCTTTACACGCGTGAAATGAATATTTAGAGTTATTAATAAAAGGGATGTAATTTCATTAATTGATTCAATAATTCAAATAGAATCTACGTTAATAGCCTCCGTTCTTTATTGAAAAAGTAACCTCATTCAATTTTTTATTGGAATACTAATATTTTTCACTTCAAGCGTTACGAATATTTGAAACTCGAAAACGAACGAACAGAATTCACAACAGGATTCATCAACATTGTTTCACAAAGTATTTAACTTGCGTAATTTTGGAAAATCATGAATAAATTCTGATCAAAAAAAAAATTTTTCATATATATATATAATAAAAGTAACAATAGAAATGACTTATTTTCAACAAGACACGAAAATGGATTTGGATCAAAATCCTATCATGGTATTGAGTGAAATTCGTAAAGTAATTCCTATCGAGCTGCAAGAATACTTGAACATTTTTGAAGATTTATATGATCGCAAGTTATGGCATCAACTCACCTTAAAGATGGAGGAATTCTTTTCAGAACAAGACTCAGGCCCCTTTCAAATACCTTTGTTTAGATATTTCATATCAGATTGGGAGAACAAGATGAATAAACTTAAACTTGTGACATTGGGGTTGAGTGTTTTGAAACAATTCGGCGGTATTTAATAATAAAGGATTTTTCTAAATTGCTTCATTAATAAAGATTACTTATTACTCGTGTACGTATTGTAGATTATAATCAGGCCTTGGAATTTTTAACATCGCTTGTTGAAAAGGTCAATTCACCCGAAACACATGATGCATATGTTCTTGCTGTAATGGAAACTGCTTATATAAAATTGATGTTAAATGATCTTGAAGGCACAAAATCAGCAATAGACGAATGTGAGAAAATTCTCGATTCATTTGATTCTGTAGAAACCATTATACATGCAAGTTATTATCGTGTCTGTGCCGAATTTTATAAGGTGATTCATTAAAATTTGTATTTGACATTTACATACACACGCACATATGTTTATATACAAATATAATCTAAATATAAATATTTTTGAATATTAGGTAAAAGCAGAATACGCAGAATATTATAAAAGTGCTTTACTCTATTTGGCATGTATTCAACTCGATGATTTAAAACCCGAGGAAAAAGTTCAGAGAGCATATTTATTAGCAATCAGTGCACTTTTAAGTGATTCAATTTATAATTTTGGAGAATTGGTAAAATGATTGTGTTATACACACACACACACATATATGTGTGTGAATTTATAAAATGTATATGTATATATATGTGCACATATTTATAAAATATTAATCAATATATATATATATATACATACATACATACATATATACATATTTTCCCATTCATTAATTTATTAAAGAAAGTTCATCCAATTTTGAATTCACTAGAAAATACAACTTATGAATGGCTGAAAAACTTATTAATTGCATTTAATGCTGGAGACATAGGAAAATTTGAAATGTTGTCAGTTAATTTTTCACAAGAGGTAAATATTATATATAGATTTAAATTTTTCAAATTTAAAGATATTTATACTTTTTTTATTATTATTTGATTATTTTTTTAGCCATTGTTACAAGAAAAAAATCAATTTTTACGTCAAAAAATTTGTTTGATGTCATTGATTGAAGCAGTGTTTAAAAGAAATTCTGATAATAGAACAATTCCATTTGGAACTATTGCTTCTGAAATTAGATTACCTATAGAACAAGTATTTATCAAATCAATAACTTACTTAATATATAAGAATTGTTATTATAAATTACTATATTTATTTCTAATTAAATTGAATTCATTGCTCAAAAAAAAATTTTTTTTAAAAATAAAAAAATTAAAAGGTTGAATATCTTGTAATGAAAGCTCTTTCACTTAAATTAATTCGTGGTTCAATTGATCAAGTGGGCGAAGTAGTTGTAGTGACATGGGTCCAACCACGTGCTTTGGAATTAGAACAAATTGATAATATGAGACAAAGATTACAAGAATGGGATGAAAATGTAAAGAAAACAGCTTTAGCTGTGGAAAATGAAACACCAGAATTATTTGTTCAATAATAAAATTATAATAATTATAATAAATATCTATGATTGACTATACAATTCAATTTGATGTGGAAACTGTATAAATTTGCTGTGAGGTTCTTATAAATTATGTATTTAATAAATTATTTAATTCTCTTTTTAAAAAATAAAAAAAAAAATCTATAAATGAATAATAATTAATTAATTATAAATTATAAATAAGTTAACATTAGTGTTTAAAAATTAAAATTAGTATGCTATTCAATCAATATTAATTATAAATCACATCGTCATTATTAGTAAAGTTGTTGCTGTTGTTATTATTATTATTATCGTAATCATTGTCATAGTTGTGATTATTGTTGTTATAATCACTACCATTCCCGGCATCATAATCCTCGTCATAATATTCATAGTTATCTTCAAACTCATAATCTAACGATAACTCTTTAGCCATCCAATATTGAAACTCTTCAACATTTGCGATTGGCTTAGGAAAATTTTCAAATTCATATTTTTCAATCAGTAATATATCATAAAATGCATGATATGATACTATAATATGATGCTAGTTATCAAAACAAAGGAGAAATATTAATGAAATTAGTTATGAAGGAATAAATATCAAATATAAAAAAAAATTGCTTACTTGTATTGGTTTTAATAAAACCGCTTCAGTATCTTTGTCTTCAATATATTCAGACATTTTTGTCATAATGTATTGAATTCGCATTTTAACTGAATTTTGAAATGTTTCATAAACTTCTATAATATTTTCTATAAACATAAAAAAAGTATTAAAAATTTAGAAAGAAAAAATAAAGAAATCTGTATTGGGTGGTCAATTATATTTGATATAATAAACGATTTATGCAAATAATTAAATTTACTTGGACTCGCAAAATTTTGATCTTTTAATAAAGTTTGTTGATTTACTGGTTTAAGTTTATTTCTTATTCCAAAGGTTGATACCTAATAATTATAATTGTAATAATAGAAATTTTATAATTAATATTAATATTTCTTGAATAAATAATACAAATGTTACATATATTATAAGAATATTAAAATTTACCTTCATAAAGAATGAAGTTAATGGTTCAATAGCAGAGTTTGCACAATTATAAATAAATTCCTCGCATGTTTTCTTTAATTCTTTATCTACTTCCTATATTTATTATTATTAATAATAAAAAATAAAATAAAAGCAATAATCTTAAACAATCACATTCATATACTTTTTTCTCGAAACAAACTTATGCACAAGTGCATACCAGTTTGGAATCTATTATGTTTTCTTTTACTTTTGGAATTCCTTTTTGTGCCAAGCCAAATAAAGTATTAGGACTTAAAATAGAATATTTATTCTGTAATATTTCATTTAACGCATCTAAAAATATAATTTTAATATAGACTCTCACATAAAAAAAAACTCATGCTCAAAAAATTTTGAATTTGAATACTTACTAGTTATAGAAGAAAAATCTAAATCCTTTTCTTCATGAACAAATTGTGTACCAAAGACCGCAATTTGATCTTTAAGAATCAATAAATGTTTTATTAAAAATAATTGTCCGTCAAGTTTACTCTAATGATTATAAAAAAAGTAATTTAATTATTTGAAAATAAAATAAAATAAAAAAGTGATGCTTTATAGTTTTTTTTAAAAAAAAAAAATGAAACCTACATGTTTTGAAATTGTTTCACTTGCTGATAATAGAGATTTTAAACATAATAGAACAACATCTTGTGCTATATCATCAAATATTTTAGTCTATATAGATATATATAAAATTTTATATTAAATAATTATATTTAAATATAAATATATATATATATATATATATATATATATATATAAACATTTCATCAACTTACATTAACACATTGATAAAGCTTTGAAAGTACATATAATGTACGTTGTAATGTAGGAAACCATCCATGATATATTCCACCTGTATCAGCAGGATTTATGGAAAATTCAGTATTGGTGTTGTTAGTGGTGGTAGAGTTGATGCTAACATTGGTGATAGATTTATCATCATCATTTTTCTCTAGCATTGGTGGTGCTGATAAAGAACGTTGTAGAAGTTCTTTTGGGTATTCTTCAGCAGTCACAGCTGATAATAATTTATCATTCAAAGCTAAAATATAAAACATACATGTATAAATATATATCAAATAATATAATTAATATAATGCAAATGTTAAATAAAATATACCTTTTAATTTATTCGGATAATCTAGATCTGAAGGTTTTGCAATATAATTTTGTATTTCACTTCGAATATATGTTTGAGCTCGAAATACAAGCCTTTGTTGTGCATCCTGAAGAACATTACGAATCAAGTAACTAAACTGTAATCCTTGACCTTCTTTACCTAAAAAGATATATTAATATAATTATTATTTCTCAACATTAATATTTAACAAATTAAAAAAATTTTTATGTCCAACCTTCATCTTCTTCAACATCTTGATTAAGATGAACTAACAATATAGTACATAGTTCAGATAAAGTATCAATACTTGCTTCATGAATAATTTTTGGGCGGAGAAAATCGTACATATAACTACATAATAGATCTAATAATTTTCCACTAAATAGCATATATATATATATATATATATATATATTAATTAAATATTAATTGAGAATGATATTAATTATATAATTATAGTTCACAGTAACTTACTATAAATCATCTTCACCAGTTGTAAAAAAATTATAAAATAATGAATACTCATCGTTACAAAGATTCAACATATATGCATATCCATTACGTGCCTATTTACATATGCAAAAGATGAATTATAAAATCCACAATTTATAATTAATAATTTTAAATGTCTTGAAAAACCTCCTTACAAATGACAAGATATCTTGTTCATTAGCTCCTAAATCAAGAATCTTTGAATAAATGACAGGAACAAGAAGTTGCTGCCGTACGGAAAAGTACGCATCATAACAATCGTTTAATAAAGAATAATACCTATAATATAATTAAATAAAAATTAAGAATAATTACAGGGAAAATTAAAACATTGATTGCTAATAAGAACTATAAGACCGATATAACTTACTCTTGATGTTCAGAACATCTTTTTTCAATTTCATGTAATAATTCTTTAAATTTTGGTGAGATAGCTTTAAATTTTACATAAAGTACTGCAGTTTGTACTGTAGAATTTAATAACTTGAAATAATCAATTAACAACAATAGTGACGATGATATTAAAATGAATGATGGTTAGTTTCTTTGAAATAAATACATATTCATAAATATTGAAATAATACCTGGTTATTTTTTTTGCTAATTTCCAACCCTATACTTTTAATTGTACTAATAAAATACATTTTAATAATTGTAATTCCTCTTGTTAAACACTGTCTAAATCTGATAAGGTAAAGTTCTGAATCCTTATATTTCATCTTTATTTTTTTTAATTAAAAATAATTTAATGTTTTTATTTGATTTGTTTTTTTTTTTTTTTTTTGAAAAAAAAAAAATCAAATTAATACAAACATTATTTTGCATGTAATCTAAACATTCATCTAACTTTGTTAACGTGGGCAAGAATTCTTTTAGTTCACAAATACTTTCTCCTGGTGAATTAAATAATTTTGTAATTGTTTCCAATTCATTATAATAAGACAATTTTGATGACATTGAATCTGCTAATTTGGCTAAATTATTCTACATTTAAACAATATTTAATTAACATAATATATAATTTATATGTAATATAAACTATACACAATACCTGTTCTTCAAGAAGTGTTTCGCAAGCTGTTTGCAGTGCTCTTGTACGTTCTTCAACAAATTTAAAATTCCCTTCAAGATCATTGAACAATTTAGCGGTTGTATCTATTTGTTTTAGAAAATCATCGCATGCTTGTCTATATAATGTAATTACTGAAAGAAAATTTCTAGAGATTAAAAATAATTTAATCCATCAATTTAGCTATCAATATTTTTTTTATCAAAGATTAAATGTTTAATCAAACCTGTAAACATCTTCTTGATCTCTTTCCATATCATTTTCCATTCTAGCAAACCAATCAAAAAATTGTTGCGTGGTCTCGATTGGTTGTGTAATACCAAGCGATGAAGAATCTGGTATTAAAAAGGCTACTGCTTCTGTAGCTTGAAACTCTGCAGCTAACAGATTAGTGGTCGATCGTGATTTTGGCAAAGGCGAAGAAGCTAAATGTTGATATGAAGATTGTTTTAAATTGTCTTTGTAAGGTGGGAGTGAGGGTGAAGCTGTACGTTGTGGTGTACCTGAGCCAAAATCAGTCAGAAGCTATATTAATAAAAATTTATATATAATTATATAATTTAATTACCATTAAAAATACATTTAAATCAATTATAATTTTACATAAATCTTACGCCTTCAGGTAATGGTAATTCTGCACAAGCATCTTGTAATTCTAATACACTTTGTCTTTGTGCCTCTGATAATTGAGTTTTTATCTCCCACTCTTCCAAGCTTATAGTTTTATTTTGTTTAAAACTTGTTGATGTCATTTTTATTCACTCGATTATTATAATCTAGTCAAATCCCCAAAGATATTTACAAACACGCATATGCATGCATGTAACAGGACCCCAATTATCGTCAATCAATTCCTTAATGGGCCGAAACTAACTCGTAGTGGCTTGGGGTTCAGGCCATGAAAGTTTTCTGGCGAGATTGGAGAAACTCCTAAATTGGGCGAACGAATTATTGTAAGTAATAATTTTATATTAACTTTTCTGCCTCTATTCTAATGTTGTTTGACAAAATGTTACCAAAGTTGTAAAACTATTATGTTAAATTCAAAAATGATGCAAGTAAAATTGCTTTAAAGGAGAATAAAATATAAAAGCTCACAAAAAAATGTATAAATATATATTCCAAGGTCTTCTTTTGTCAAACATTTGCTATATTAATATTAATAACGTGATACATGATGGGTTAGATAAAATCATCAATTAGAGATTCGGTACTTTATGTTCCAGGGTCAACTAATTAGTGTGTAAATAATTACGGAAGTTTTTATAATATCAATATTGATTGATTAAGTTTTTTTTACTTTGCAATAATAAAACCCATCTTTATTTTTATCCTTATTGTAATGACGAAAATTTCATCAATAATAACTTCTGGTCTTCGCTTGATCTCAGAGAAAAATAATAGATAAATAACATTCTGATAAAATAAAACTCTGTGATAGAATAATTGTTTTATTAAACGTTAATAAACTTTTAAAAATAAAATAAAAATAAAAACGTTGTTTTTATCTTCTTTGGTAAAAGGTAAAAATTGTGGAGCTTTGGTAAAAAGCCACGTTTATTTGCTTTGGTGAGCAAGCAATGCTGGGGTTAACTAGTGAGTGCTAACAATGATTAGTAACGTGATTTGCTTTAGTGAGTAAGCAAAGGTTATGACCAACGTTGGTTAACTGGTGGGTGTTAATGAAGCATCGTCCAAAGGTTAATCGGAAATACTGGTGGTATTATTGTAATCGTAAACGTAAGGCTGTTAAACAAGCTACTTAAGTTGCTTTGCAAGTAAACCAAAGCGAGTTTGCAATCGGCTAAATAAATGTAAACGAATAAATCGATCACAGATGAATAAAAGGAACTTTATAGAAGCCTTTGAGCCTTTTAAAGTCCATATTTATTTATTTACAGTTATCTGGTATGCTCATAGATTCGTCTAGGTGGAACCAATTGACAAGCACCGAATTATTGTGAGTTGCTTGTGATTAACTGACGAAAGTAGTCCAAATACTTGTTAAATAATCATTTTTAACCAAAATGATACCTCGCAATATTACCATTTAATATTAACAAGAATCAAAAAAACTGAAAAGTTTATTATTTCAAAATAGTTTAGCTTTAAGAAATAAAATAAAGTAAAATAAAAAGATAAATAATTTTATAGTGGAGATTAAATTAGTCATTCGTCGATTCTTTCTTTTAATTATTAGAATCTATTGCAATAAAAATATTGTTAATAAATAATTAATGGATAGTAATTTAATAATTAATAATGAAATTTTTATTCACCTTCAGCATTTAAGAGGAAAGTGTTAAAATCAAGACTATTTAACAAACTATCATTACTTGTATAAATTTTCAAGCTTTTTGATTTGGCAATCTCTTCATCTAATATTCTACTTTTATGATATGCGTCTGGATGTGATTTGTGTACTTGTTGCAAATCACTATTGCCACTACTGCTGCTGCTATCATGATTTTTAATTTTAGGAAATTTGAATAATCTTTTTATTAAACTATTATTCTTACTATCGTTTTTCAAACTTTCATTTTTAAGAATATCATCTAGTTTATTATTAGCGAAATCATAAAGCTCTCTACTAGTTGGTCTTTTTGATGGATCCACATCCCAACACCTCTGCATCATTTGCACATAATCATCAGGCATTTCAGGTAATATTGGTGGTCGTAAACCTTCACATATATCAAAAATCAAACGATGATTGTGAGCTCTATCATCAAATGGTGGATGACCTGCAAATATTTCCCACATTAACATCCCAACACTATAGATATCTGATTCTTTGGTGTTCTTTGCATTAATTTTGCCTCTAAGTACTTCGGGTGCAACATATGATACAATTCCATACACTTTATTTGATGATTTTTCATCAACTGGTCCACATAATCCCAAATCTGTAATATAACAATTACCTCCACTTATTAATATATTACCACTATGTAAATCACAATGAATCAAATCTTTTTCATGTATCAGATATAATGATTTGCATAAATTATAAAATATTGTAATTCTGTCTTTTAATGTTAAATTTAAATGACTTTTTTGTAAATAACCCCTTAAATTTCCCTCTAAATAATGATTTAAAACTATTGCATAATTTCCATTATCTGGGAATCTAGTTATACCATAACACTCAACAATCAGTGGTGCTCTAATTTTAAAATAATTCATTGCCTGAAAATAAATAAAATTAATTAGTATTATATAATACAGTATTGTTTATTTTGTTTTAAATGACAATTACCAACCTCATCAAAAAATGCTTTTCCTGGATTACTTGAATCATTTAAACTTTTTAATACTACTAGTTGCCCTCCTAAATAACTAAATTCCTTTTTA